CAGCCAGCAACCTGCCGTGTCTGAGATGCCCCAGCCCCTCGGGCCTCCTGTGTGGGACTCTGACACCATGGGGAGTCCCCCTTGGATTCTAGAAGCAAATGAAACTCCTTGGAATCCAAAACTAATAAACTTTCAGAGTGGCCTCAGGTGGGTTGGTTATCATGATATTTCAGTCTCACTTAACCAATAAGAGGGCCGGTTGGCAAGTGTCCAGGATGAATATTCTCATATAAGCCTTGGATTAGAGGAAGCCAAAAGATTTTTTTTGGCCATCTACATGCTCAGCTTACACCCCACCTGGGTTCTGAGGTGCAGATCTTGTGACAGTTGGGGCCCTGAAAAGCAATTAAAAGAAATAAAGCAAAGTATTATATTTTAATTGATGTAATCTTCCAGCTCCCGGTGGAATCTGGAGTGATATCTGACTAGAGTTACCCCAGGTATCAATAGATGACTATTCTGTGAAAGTGCATTTAGGAAGACAAAACCTAACGAACTTCATTAACATGTGTCTCCGTTTAGGGGGTTTGGGGGTAGGGTGGGGGTGTGTGACTGGCTCAGACTCCCAGGGCTCAAAATGGGAAGGAGCCACCCAGCCTTTTCTGGGATCTGAACCAAGACTGGGGGAGGAAAGCAGGAGGTGGGGAGGCGGGGCCTGAGCAAGGGAGAGAAGAGGAGTGGAGGGGAGAGAGGACGGTGGTATTTCCACTTCCTTTGGGGAGCACCTGCAACCACGTGTTCCAGACCACAGCGGCTCTCAGTCATCACGAACGTTTCAGGGTTTGTTTCTGTTTTATTGTAAATATGCCAGTCCAAGAAAGATAAACAGACCAGAAAGAAAGAAAGAGAAAGAAAGAAATGGCTCTAGTATACAGAGTCAGATAGAAAATACAGAATGGGAAAGCAAGCCAACAAGTAGCAGATAAAAAGTGGCGACAAAGCAAAGGTGAAGAAAACTAGGTGAAGAAACGAGGCAAAAATTATTCTGCCCACCCCCCCACCCCCCCAACCCTGCCCCCAGCTGGATTGAGGCACGGCAGTGACGGTCCCAGCAGCTAATAGAAACTGTCAAGTGTGTCAGTCTTATCTTTCTTCCGCACGGTGAGGGGAACCGACTTTATAAATGACTCATGGGGACATTCGTTTCACTAATCCATTAAAAAAAAGTTTGCTATTGATCAAGATATCCAGCCCATAAAAACCCATTTTAAAAAACAACCCTTCCCACCCCAAATGTGATCTGACCGTAGGGACCACAGTTTCAGAAGCAAGGATCGGGACTGTGGGTGGAGAGTAGATGGCACCACTGAGGTATGTAGTCAGTGGGCCTCTGGGCCACATTTCTCCACTAGGCTGGAGGCAAGGCTAACATGAAGCCCAATGTCCTGGGCCTCCTGCTGCCTGATGGGTAAAGAGACAAAAAAGGAGAAAGCTTTCGGATTGGGGAGCGAGACCAAGTTAGGGCGCCACTGAGATCCTTTATGGAAATGGTCAGGGTGCCAGGTGAACCACAGAATGGCAGCTTCAACTCACGGCCATGCCACAGAGAAGACGCGCCCCACCCACATGGCAAACACATGGAATTTAGCTCGTCGTCTTCCAAAGCTGTCTTTACTTTAGTACACTCAGAACAGAAATACTTCCGGGGCAATTCAATTCAAGGTGTAGTGGAGGAGGTAGAGATGAAGACGGTAGCAGCGGCTGTTTATTTCTCTCCTTGTGAGTTTTCTAAGGGTACCATCAGAAGTTGCATAGGATTTGTTTTCCATCAGAAACGAAAACTCCCTGCGCGACACTCCCAGGTGGTGGAGCAGCTGCGAGGACGCTGAACCCCTTCCTGTCAGATACCGCTGCTCAGGGGCTCCCAGACTCCTCACGAGTCCAACATTGAGCCGCGGCCACAGCACGGCCGGGGAAGCATCTGTACCTCCCACCTTGTGAATGGAAGCGAAGGTAAAGGCTTTACCTGAAGTTAAGAGTTCCTGATTCCTAGGTCTGTGATTGGCTACCCGATTCCACTTCTCGCCCAGGCACCTGGCAAATTCTTGGTGATTTAAGGTCTTTCCATGACATACACAGGCATGCTTACCCAGACACGCACATGGACACATATACATGTGCAAACACACACACTTGCACCTAGGTCTCAAATCCAGTAGCAAGACATGTCCCCATCCTGGGGGCTCTGGCTTCAAGGACAGTCGTCACTGAGTCTGGTTAAAGAGAGATGCAGATGACAAAGTGTGCACCATACCAAGAGGTGGCCGGTCCTCCTCCTCTCTGAACAGCACTTGCCAGCCTCGCCCAGGCCCCGGGTCTTTGAACACCAGTCCACCTGGCGCGGGGTCTTGTCCTTGGTGCGTTCTGCTCTCCTCCCCTCTTCTGTCTTCTTCACAGACCACATTCACAAAGGCCCACATCGAACCCAGTAAAAGCGAGTCGGAAAGGGCAGGAAACCCCTGAAGTCCAGGTAATCAAGGCCTCTTTGAGTAGATTATAGATCATTTTTTTGTTTTGGGCATTTAAAAAGTTTTAATGGGCTTTTGAGACTCTCCATCTTATTCTTCCCAAAGGTCATCTCCCTACACACAGACACACACCCCCCACCCCCAAACCACCACCCAGAAAGGAGAGTTCAGCACCTGAAATTGGATTACTGGTAACTAACTCCTCAACTCTCACTGCCACCGAATGGATACTGACTCATAGCAGCCGGATAGGACAGTGTAGAGCTGTCCGCTGGGTTTCTGAGAGCCTGGAACGCTTTGCAGGAGTAGAAGGCCCATCTCTCTCCCTTGGAGCGGCTGGGGGTTTTCAACTGCTGACCCTGTGGATGGCAGCCCCCTGCATCACCAGGGCTCCCCATTGGCAATTCCGTGGTGTAAAATTCAGGAAATGGAACGGGAATGATTTAGACTTCCGTTTTCCAATCCTAACTTCCCGCTCCCCTGCCCCTGCCCACAAACAACACCACAACCCAGAAAGCAAATGTCAGAACCAAGAAGGCAAAGAAGAAAAGGCGAAGGAAAGAGAAGGGAAAAGAAAAACTAGATACAAAACCAGAAGAAAAAAAGCCAACCTTCCCTGTTGAGTTTAATTTTTTTTTTCCTGTAAGAACTAGAGTTGGGGTACAATGGCCCCATCCTCGGGGGACACTCCACTGAAGCTCCCACCCATGATTGGACAGGGCTAGTCGGGCAGCGACCCTACCCCAGACCCGATGTTATTTTGGTGGGAGGGAAAAGGCCCAGCGAGAGAAGTGGGGCTCCCTGTGCCCTGGGAGCAAGTGTCCCGGTGGCCACGTGCTTGCAACGTCTCTGGTGGACCCCCTTCTGGACCTGGGCTCTGTCTCAGGCCGGGGCATCGGCCCTTTGATTCTTTTGCAAAGTTACCGTATCCCAAATCCCGAGAGAAGTCATGACACTGTACAAGGCCGGGCTCCAGGTGGACAGCGGGTGCCTGCCCGGCCTCTTCTGCCTCCAGACTGCCGCGGGAGGGGCTACTCCGGCTCGCTGCTATTGGTGGTCTTCTCCCAGTCCAGGCTCTCCTCGCTGCGCGAAGGCGAGGGGCGCGCGCGCAGGCCCTGGAACCGCCGGCACTCCGGGCAGACTCGGATGTGTGTGCAGCCGCGGGCCACCAGGGCCGCCTCCTGGGCCAGTCTCTGGGCGATGGGGTCCGGCTCCCCGGCCCCGCACAGCTTGCCGTTGCTGAGCGTGGCTGTGCCCCTGGGCCTGCGCTCCTCGGTGATGGGGGGTCGGGGCTGCGGCACCCCCGAGCGCCGTCGGCGGGGGTGGGTACTGTCCTGACACAGGATGATACTGCGCAGCTCACTCACCATCTCTTGGCAGACAGACACCTGGAGGAGATAAGGAGGTCACAGTCCAGCCTCTTAGAACCAGCCCCTGCCTGTGCCCTGAGGGTCTGTTGGGGGACAGATTGTCCCGTGGGATCTGGAAGGCCTTCCAGGCCATCTCGTCAATCCCACCCTGCGTTTGATAATCCTCCCTGTCAATCTGGTCACTTTCAAGGCCAGCCAGCTCAGGAAGGTGTCCAGTTCTGGCTGCTAGATCCTTCTTCCTATCGGGTCAACAAATCCTCTCCCTGAAATTTTCACCCTTTGACTGTTGATCTTAGTAAAACTTGGCCCTGGGAGGTTATCACTGGGTAAATAACCCCTCACCTGCACGCAACCACCACAGCGCCTGCATCAGTCTTTCAAGTATTTACAAAGGCATGGGCATTCTCAAGTTCAAGGTTCTTACAGCCTTGAGTGCAGCAGCTGGCTGGGGCTGGACACGAGGGCCTCTCATTACAGCTGTCACGGGGAAGACTTGGTTGGTATGGCCAATTCAGTATCCTCATATGAAACTCTCCGGCCCAGTTGTGGCTCAGAATTGGGAATTTGTTGGGTTTTAGGAAAGGAATGCAGTGCAGCCATCATGTATCACGCCCACAGGGTCTGGGTCAGACCCAATAGTGGAACGCATTAATATTCCTGTAACAACAGGCATGTGCGTTCCCACGAGGTGAGAAAAATAAAGCCATAAACCACCGCCTCGGATCAGTTCAAACCAAGTTTTGCTTCCAAGGGTATTTACAATAATTTATAAAAATGTGGGACTTTCTGGGCTTTCTTGGTTGGAGGCTTGTGGGTGAAAAATCATGAGCCTGCACGACTCATGTCCTTCTGATACCACTTCTTTCCACTACCATCCCTGACACCATTTGTTGGCCAGCTCTGAGAAGCCTTCCATTCACTGACTCCCCTGAAGAACAGTACTCGGAACTCCAGGTATTGTAAGACCACCCAGGGTGGAAATGGAGGCTTCCCCAGAAACCAAACTCGCCGCCATGGAGTCAGCTGTGATTCATAGTGCGACCTGGCGGGACAGAGTAGAACTGCACCCTATCAGAGTGGGACCGTGCCCCTGTGGGTTCCTGAGACTCTAGCTCCTTACGGGAGTAGAAAGCCTCATCTTGTTCCAGAGGAGCAGCTGATTGCTTCAAACTGCTGACCAGGGTTAGCAGCCCGGCTCATAACCCACCATGCCTCTGTGTGGGTTAGAGACACTAACTTGCCACTGTTTCTTGGCTAACAGAGTGGATCCAGGATTCGAACGTACGTGTGCTAGAAAGAACCCTTTCCTGGGGTGAGATGGGAAAATCCAGGTTCATGTTCTTTCAGCTCTCTCAGGGGGTCTCTTGTTCTACCGTAGACAAATAGATGAAGTAGCTTTTTCCCTTCATCCTAACAATTGGTAGTGTGTGAGTGCGTTGTGTGTCAACTACAAAGGCGGTGGAAAGGAGGAAGCATCCTGACGCACTTGACTGCTTTCGGAGAGAAGGCCAGGCTGTTGGGGAAAGTTTCACAGGCCAGGGACAACTGAACTAAGTCCATTTAAGGAATGGACGAAGAAACAAAGGCAGCAAAGTCACAGAGAGAAGGAGGAGAGAACCAAGGGTGTTAGGGGCCATGGGAGGCCGAAGAGCTTCCAGAGGGAATGGTCCACATCTTCACAGGGTACACTGAGGCCCAGTCAGGCCGAATGGGCTCTCTTTGGTTTTGTCCAGTGGGAGCGTCAGAGCCCTTAGCAATCATCGTTCAAGTGCGTTCAGACTGCCCTGAATTGAGGACTGAATGGGCGGTGAAGAACTGGAGACCCGATAGCAAATCGATGCCTAGACAAGAGTGATGGCAACATATGTACAAATGTCCTTGACACTATTGATGTATGCATGTCACAAGAGCTGTAAGAGCCCTCAATGAAATGTGAAAAGAAGACGAAGAAGAAGGACTGGATACTGAGGCACTAGGAGCCCCTGTTTTGGAAGAGGGTAGGATAGGGCAAAACCCATATAATGTTGCTGTTATATTTAATTGTGAGAAAAACTCGTTTACGGATTTCAGGGCAAGAGAAGGCTGAAAACACCACGGGGAGAGAAAGGGGGTAGTCCTTGAGCTCACCTTCTCTCCACTCCTCAGGGAGATGAATCAGAACATCTGCTCACCTGAGTGTGGGTGTGGGAAGTGCGTACAGCTGTGGGGATCGTTTTAGGTAAGGATTTTAACTTGGGGCTGGTCACCGCAGATTTCTTGGGGAGAAGAGAGGTAAAGCCAACTTCTGCATGTGAAGGATCAGAGGCCCTGGCCAGGGGATGGTGGCCTGGAAGCCCCTTCGGGGAAATGGGGGAGGAGGCTCAGCACAGCAGAGTAGACGGAGAGGCTGAACGCCATGCTCTCAGAGGGCCACTGGCTGCACAGTTATGCGCTTTTCCTCCAGGGGCAAGAAGGAGAGGAAGATTCAGGAGAATCCAGAGCTGAGAGATGGAGATAGAAGCTCATGACCTTTATCAATCTAATGATGCACTGACATGTGCCCCTTCCCTGGGTGAGGACAGAGGAGCAGGATGCATTCTTCTTACTCCTCAGACTCGCCAATCTCCCTGAAGTTTTGATTTGCCCAGGCTTTTTCAAAATATATGAGGACACATAATCCATGTGCTCAAGTGAGTTGGAATATCTCTAAGTACCTTTACCTAAAAGGCAACCCTCCCTACCCCCCAAAAAGCCCAGACCCTCACAATGGAAGGATTTATATCACCTTTTCCATTAGTAACCTGGTCTTTTTCCTGGTTTTCTGTGCTATTCTTATTATATATAGCATGTTTTTACTCAAAAAGCTTTTTCACATACGTATTTATGCTCAGCCATTTCAAAGACGACTATGGAGCCCAGAGAGGTTAGGTGCCTTTTCCGCTGTATAATTAGTGCTTGGTGAAGCCATGTGTCAATCTCCAGGCCCGGAGTTCTTTCCCCCCTTGTTGGCTCTGTGGGAGCTCCCGGGGATGCGCGTCATCGTTGGAAAGACTGTCAGAGCAGGGGAACGTGGGCCCATCTGTCATTACTACCCGTTCCCCTTGGGAAGTTTACCTCAGTTGCTTCTGAGTGTCGGAGAGTCCACAAGAACTCCAACATAGCCATGAAAATAGCCACGATTAAGCCACAAATAAGAACCACAAAGATTCCGCCGATATTCTCCATTCCCAGGCCTGTAAGAAAGCGATAAAAACAACAGATAGCATACAATAACAGGAAAACATGCCACAATCCTTCTACCAAAAATCTTGAAAGTCATGCAAATAACTGGAACTTGAGTCTTGCATCTTTTCCATGAGGAACCTGGTATTTTTTCCTGTTCTCCACACATATCTTGAAGAGATTAGGTTAAATTCGCTTGAACAATTGCCCTCTCGTCTGGAGCCCTATGGACAGATTTTGGATTATGGGGTACTGAACATGAGGTATTTTTGGAAAAACAAAACAAAACATAGCTGGGGTAAGAATAGAAGGCAGGACTGAGTTGCAAATGGATAAAGGTAGAATAGGGGCTTGGAGGTAGATTTTGAGGCTCCTTATTCTTAAGAATAAGGTTCAGGCTAACTTTTATTTAGCCTGTAGAGAGAGACCTGACACCCCAATTCCTATACATTCTGGCAATATTAGTCAATTCTCCTAGTATTGTATTTGTTTCATGTAAAGCAACTATTTTGACCATACCATAAACTGAAGACTAAACTGACTGCTGTTGGGGGGATTCACATCGACTCACATTGACTCTATGGCACAGAATGCAGCTGCCCCCGGGCGTCCTGAGACTGCAGGGGCAGACAGCCTATTGGCCTTGTGGGGAGCGGCTCGTGGGTTTGCCAGCCTTTTCGTTTTGTTGCCCAATGCTTAACCCACTGTACCAGCAGAGCTCCTCGACAAAACCTTCCCAAACCATGGTCATTGTCATCAATTCGATGCCGTCTCATGTCAACCTTATAGGTCAGGGTAGAACTGCCCCCTGTGCGGTTCCAAGACTTTAACTCTTTTTTAAAGAAAACATTTTATTGGAAGCTCTTACAGATAGCATAACCTGGCACCGTTCAGTCACCTCCAGGAGCAGTGTTCAATCAGCGGCCAAACATCTTCAAATCATCAGTTTCAAAACATGTTCTTTCTCCTTGACCGCCTCCTCGTTAAGACCTGAACTCTTTACTGGACTAGACAACCGCGCTTGTCATTTTCCCAAGCATAGGCTGGTGGTTTCGAACTGCTGGCCCTGTGATTAGCAGCCCAATGTATAATCACTACACCACCTGGACTCCACTGATCAAACCACAGGTAGGAAAAAGTGTGTTGACCCCTTTGTATTACCAAGATATTAAGACACTTCTTTAGAAAATGTAACTTGGTATTCCTCCAGGCCTGGCTGCCACTAGAACCACCTGGGAAATGCAGGTTCTCAGTTCCCACCCCCGGGCCTCTTGAGTGGATGTCTCTGGAGACGGGACCACTAGAACCACCTGGGAAATGCAGGTTCTCAGTTCCCACCCCCGGGCCTCTTGAGTGGATGTCTCTGGAGACGGGACCACTAGAACCACCTGGGAAATGCAGGTTCTCAGTTCCCACCCCCGGGCCTCTTGAGTGGATGTCTCTGGAGACGGGACCCTGCAATCTGCATGCTTCAGCAAACTTCACTCACGTTTATTCTTCTCCAGCTCGGTCTGAAATTAGTTTGCACATTGGTGTTTTGGGAAAGAACTATACAGAGGGACGGTGAATACTTGGAGTCTGGCAGGATCCTCCCACAGCATTTGACATACAGTCTATACTCAGTAGGGGTGAGTCGAATGCCCTGGTTGTTTTGTATCTGAGGCATCTGAATGTAAAGCCAAAGCATCGCCAACTTTAGGGGCAGTCCACAAACTCATGAGACCCAGATTGAACAGGGGGCACAAACGCATCAGACAGCACCTTGGGGAATGTCTAGCTTATGTTCTAGCTTTGTCAGTGTCAGAGAAAACCTCCCACAGTGCTTACAAGATGGGTCAGACAGCTCAGGAGGGAGCAGGAATCGGACACTACCTACTTTCTGCCCCCTGGGGAGCTGGGAACACAACACGGCTCAGCCTGGCCATTTTGGATGCCTGAGTTTCTTATGACAAAACCACCAATAGTTGTGGTGTATTGTTTTGTACAATGCTCTCTGTCTGATAGCACGGCTATTCACATCCCTGCACTGTGGTCAGTGGGAGATTCACTGGAGTCTTAATCGATGTGGGAACTCTGCAAGTAGATTTTGGGTTTACACTGTCATCCAGAGCCTTCTGCAAACCGAGTATAAGGTCCAATGACATTCCTCCCCTGGATTTGAATTTTGCTACTTATAATCCTTGGACTTCACAGGCTCATATCATCAACTCCTGATTACCCATGTGAATGTAAGATCCTCTATATTGAATAGTCAAAAACAGTGGATCATTAAAATATCCAATCTAAGGAAATGAAGACAGAATTTGGAGTAGATTTTTACCTTCCAGGAGGAAGGTGACTGGGGTTCATTTGAACACCGGGTCCTCTACACTTAAGCCACTTAAGGAGAATGTTTTGATCATGGGAATATGGGGCATCATATTCCACATGAATGGAGGGGGCTGGGAATTAAGGAAGCCAGAAGGAAATGGCCACCAAGGGGACACGGGAGAGGATGCATCAAGGCCTAGGGGGCTGTGAGGCTGTTGCTCCAGTTCAGGTCAGGGGTGAGAAGGACGAAGGTACCAGGATGGGCGTGTGTCTGTGGAGAGAGGTTGGAGGGAGATCACCAGCGACAGATACCTGCATAGGGAAAAGGACTCCCCAAAGAATGAAGATTCTACCGGATTCCACCATCACTTTGGAATAGTTCTGCCTGACGTGGAAGAAAGGACTAGGATCCTCCTTTCTCTGGCGGTTCTCAACCTGTGGGTCATGACCCCTTTGGGGGTCGAATGACCCTTTCACAGGGGTCTCCCAATTCATAACAGTAGCAAAACTGCAGTGATGAAGTAGCAACAAAAATAATTTTATGCTTGGGGGGTCACCACCACATGAGGGACTGTATAAAGGGTTGCGACATTAGGAAGGTTGAGAACCACTGCTCTAGAAGGATCTTAGCTACCTGCTCTTATTGCTTCTATGAAGAGGTATTCCTCTTGGTCTTAGTTATTCAGTGTTGCTCTAACAGAAATAGCACACAGTGAATGGCTTCAACAGACATTTCTTTTCTTACGGTTCAGGAGGCTATTAGTCTGAATTCAGGGGGCCGGCCTAAGGGCAGGTTCACTCTGTCTGTCTCTCTGAAGGAAGGTCCCTGGGTCTTGGAACCTCTGCTCCTGGGGGATTTTTATGGGGCTTGGCAACGCTCTTCCTCAATCTTTCTCTGCCGCCTCCAATTGCTTGTATACTCTTTTATATCTCCCAGGAGACTGGTTTACGAAACACCCTATACTAACCTTACCTCATGAATATAACGAAGACAGCTCGTTCCCAAATGGGATTACAATTGTGGGCAGAGAGGTTAGACTCCATAATATGTATTGGGGGAGGGGGGGCATAATTCAATCCCTAACAATCTACCCTTTGTACTCCTCAAATCCCTGTCCTTCCCCTATACAAAACTCTATCCTATTATCTCCGAAGCCTGAACTCCATTCCAAGTCCCACATCTCATTTTCTGAATCATCTAGATGATTTTTAGGCGTATTGCATCTTGAAGCAAAATTCTTCTTCATCTGTAAACCTATGCGATCTTGACTATAGGTTATCTGTTTCCAATGGTGATATAGACACAAGGTATACATTTCCACTAAAAACGGGAGAAATTGCAGGAAAAGAAGGATTACTGGCACCAAGCAAGTCCCGAACCTATCAGAACGATGGAAAATAATCCTGTTTTCTGATACATTTGGGCAAAGGATCTAGACTCTGAGTGTTGGTGATGCCATCTGAATTCTATGAGGAGCTGCCTCAAACCGGGGCTCTAGCTCCACCTTGCAGGCCTCCTGGGACGGAAAGGTCCCTGAACTTGGAGCAGTCCCCACATCCATCTGAATGATGGCCCCGCCCCCTCAGCTCCAGCAGGTCTTTCAGCTGTTCCTTGGGCATGGGAGCCATGCTCTGTCCCCAGCACGCCCCACTCCAGAGCCATGCTGGTGACTACCCGGCTCCTTGAAACCCGTGAGGCAGCGGTCCCCCCTTTCAACAGTTCTGGTGAGCTCCCAATGCTCCAACAATATTTCCTTCCTTTCCTTTCCTTTATCTACCTTTAGAAGACGACAGATGCAGCTCCTTTGGCCTGTTTCCTGCCTGCAGAATTCCAGGCGGCAGGGGTTTTCTTTCCTTTCACCCTGCCACGGACCCTTTCGTTCTGAGGCGATGGGTATTCGGGGGTGGTTCGCTCCAACGGCCACAGCTTCATCTCTTCAACAAAGATTCTGTAGCCACATCCTTGGTGAACATTCTCTACATGCCCTTAGTTGGTACTACAGAATGTTCGAATCTTCAAGTTCTTTTAAAATTTTGTACAGATGAATTTTTAAGTCCAGTTCTTTCCACCAGCATTTTACTCCAAGCAGCAAGGGAAACCACGTAGCCCCTTTACGCTGTTGTTTAGAAATCTCCAAGTACATCACTTACAATTTCTACCATCCACCAAACAGCTGAACATAATTCAGACAAGTGCTTTGCCACTGCATGCAAAACATTGCCTTTCCTTCATCAAGGATCCATGGTAACATAACGTGTTAGCCTTTGGGCTGTTAACTGCAAGGCCAGTGATTCAAACCATACTCCAAGGGGAAAAGGTGAGACTGTGTGCTCCCTTACAGAGCTAGTGTCTCGGAAAACTCTATGGAGCGGTTCTACTTTGTCCTATGATATCACTGCGAGTCAGACTCAACTTGACAGTAGTGGTTGTTTCCTCAGTTGTCCAATCACATGTTCATTTCCTTTTAAAACCTCACCAGAAACACATTAACATCCATATTTCTAGCAATTTTTTGTTGTGGGCACCATATGTATTCTTTAAGATGATACTCTCTAGTTCTCCTTACTTCCTCTGAACCTTCCCTGGAATTGCCTTTGGTGTCCATAATTCTACCAACCTTCTCTTCAAGGCAATTAAAGTTTTTACTGTTAGGCACCTGAAAATCCTTCCAGCCTTCACTCATTACCAATTCCAAAGCCG